GCGACCCCCCTCGCGGGTGCGACCCCCCTCGCGGGTGCGACCCCCCTCGCGGGTGCGACCCCCCTCGCGGGTGCGACCCCCCTCGCGGGCTGCGACCCCCTCCCGGGTGCGACCCCCCTCGCGGGTGCGACCCCCTCTCGCGGGTGCGACCCCCCTCGCGGGTGCGACCCCCCTCGGGGCTGCGACCCCCCTCGCGCGACCCCCTCTCGGGTCCTGGGGTCTTGGGGTCCCGGGGGTCCAGGGGGGTCCTGGGGTCCTGGGGGTCATCGGGGTCGATTCGGGAGGTGGGGTCATCGGGGTCCCGGAGTCCTGGGGGTCATCGGGGTCCTGGGGTCCGGACCGGAGGGGAAAGGGGTTCGGTTCGGTTCCCGTCGGTTCGGTTCAGGGGCCGCCCGGTTCCGGTTCGGTTCCGGTTCTGGTTCGGTTCGGTTCTCGCCGGTTCGGTTCTGAATGAATTCGGTTCGGTCCGGTTTGGTTTTCTACGTTCCTGGTTTTGGACCGGTTCGGTCCGGTTTGGTCACGGTTCTCGGTGTTCGGCTCGGTGCGGCCCCTTCATGATGTGGACACCATCGCCATCATCAGCAGCATCATCATCAACATCATCATCGGGACACCATCATCATCGTCACCATCATCATCATCACCATCATCATCATCATCATCCTCACCGGGACACCGTCGTCATCATCATCAACATCAGTATCATCATCATCACCATCATCGGGCCACCATCATCAAAATCATCATCATCCTCATCATCATCAACATCATCATCATCGGGGCACCATCGTCATCATCAACATCATCACCATCGGGACACCATCATCATCACCATCCGCATCAACAGCATCATTACTAACCTCATCGTCATCATCGGGACATCATCATCATCATTGTCATCATCATCATCATCTCATCATCAGCTCATCATCATCAGCATCATCAAGATCATCAACATCACCATCACCATCCGAATCATCATCGGGGCACCATCATCATCATCAGCAACATTATCACCAACATCATCATCATCATCGGGACACCATCATCACCACCATTTCCACCTCCATCATCCACATCGTCAACATCATCAACATCATTATCATCATCATAATCATCATCATCATTGGGACACCCTCATCATCATCACCATCACCATCATCATCATCAACATCAGTATCATCATCATCACCATCATCGGGCCACCATCATCAAAATCATCATCGTCATCATCCTCATCATCAACATCATCATTATCGGGACACCATGGTCATCATCAACATCATCATCATCGGGCCACCATCATCATCACCATCAGCATCAACAGCATCATTTTCAACATCATCAACATCATCGGGACACTATCATCATCATCATCATCATCATCATCATCATCATCATTGTCATCACATCATCATCATCATCATATCATCATCAGCATCTCATCATCAGCTCATCATCCTCAGCATCATCAAGATCATCAACATCACCATCACCATCCGAATCCGCATCGGGGCACCATCATCATCAGCAACACTGTTATCAACATCATCATCATCATCATCATCATCATCATCATCGGGACACCATCATCACAACCATCTCCACCTCCATCATCCACATCGTCAACATCATCTACATCATTATCATCATCATAATCATCATCATCATCATCGGGACACCCTCATCATCACCACCATCACCATCACCATCACCATCACCATCACCATCACCATCACCATCATCATTGTCATCATCATCATCATCATCATCATCATCATCATCATCATCATCATCATCATCATCATCATCATCATCATCGGGACACCGACGGGACACCCGCGGGACACCGGCGGGACACCGCGGGCCACCGGCCCCTGGAAAGGAATCATTTGGTCCGGCCGCGGCCCAGCCGGAGGCATGCTGCAGGAGACCGGCCGGACACCGCGGGCCACCGGCCCCCGGAAAGGAATCATTTGGTCTGGCCGCGCCTCAGCCGGAGGAGACTTTCTTCTCGCCCGCCCACGCACCTTCGCCTCGCCCACACGCACGGCAGACACGAAACCGAAACCGATTTCCTGGTAGGGGGGCTCTCCGTTCCACTTCGATCTCACCCCTTCACCTCCGATATGAGACGGCTCTTAGGGGGGGGCAAGACCGCTGCCCCAGTGTGGCACGGGGGGGTCAAGCGAGCCTGGACCCGCCAACAAGGCTCTCAAGGGAGCCGTGAGACCACCATAAAAGGGCCCTCAAGGGGGCCAGAAAGCACAAGAACTCTCCCAGCACGCCGACCATTGCTCCGAGACGGGTCACGTGGCCTCCAAGACGCCCCAAGAAAGTTGCAAGCTGATCCCCCAGAGAGGCCTCAGGGGCGAAAATCGTTGATTTCACGTTGGTTTTCCAAGGATTTGGTGAGGTCGCCTGTTCCACTGCCCGACGCTCGCAGACGGCACAAGAGGCGCCCAAGAGAGCCCCATGACATCTCAAGAGGGCGCCAGGACAAAATCCAGAGCGGCTTGAGCTCAAGAAGCAATTTGGCTGGAGGTTCCGTTTCAACAAGTGTCTCGACCGCCAGTCGCATTGCTCGCACATCATGGGAAGACTCGGTGCGATCCAGAGGGTCGTAGAATCATATCTCATCAGCGTCGCACCAAGCACGCCGGCATTTGGCTTCTTGACCCTGGTGCCGTGGAGCTCGCAGGAGAAGCCGGCCAACGTGTTAGCATTTGAGGCAGGTTGTGGAGATTTGAGCTTGGAAAGCATCGCCCAGATAGTGGAGCAGCACGAGGTCGTGTTGATCGTATCCGTATACAGGACGAAGAAAGAGAAGAGAAGCGTGGTACGTCTTCTGGACTATGTTAAAACAACGCATCCAGACGCCGTCGTCTTCCTGGTGCAGCTTCCAGATCGGTTGGATCCCGAGCTGACCAACTCCTACCTGAATGAACTGATGGTGCGGCATCACGAGCTCTACAGCGTTGTGGCGGATGGCGTGCTGATGGAGCTGGCAGGTGACCCGTGGGGGCTGCAACATAAGTTAAGTTTGGAGCTCCAAGAGAACGCCGCCATCCAGCTGCGCATGCGGGCACGAATCAGCACTGTCAACGAGGGATTGCCCTCAGCCATGCAGCTCAAAGACATGGAGGACGAGTTCCGCAGTTTGCTCTGGAATGCCATCCCGGATGTGCTGATGCCCGATTTCGCGCCTTTGGACGAGCGCCTGCTGGAATGTGGGAGTCGGGTTGGGGATTTCCAGCTCGTGCGCCCGTATTCGGATCACCAGCACGTGTCGTTGGCCGTGAACGGGCAGCATGAAAACGTAGTGATCAAAGTGTACGACAAGCGCAGCGTCACCGATGCCAAGGAGGTGGAGAGCATATACAGGGAATTCTGTTTGTTGACGCACACCCTCGACCACCCACACGTCATCCGTTGCGTAGGCATGTTGCACAGCCAGTGTAGTGTGCGTTTGGTTCTCCAGTATGGTGGAGACGTGTGCATGGAGCAGGTGTTGTCCACTCAGACTGGGTACCGCTTGCCCAGGGACGATGCCTTGGATTGCAGTGCCCAGATCGCCAGTGATCTGTCCCACTGCCACGCCCAGGACGTCGTCCATGGGCAAGTGTCTTTGAGGCACGTGGCTGTAGAGACAGCATGGAATGGACACATCTGCCGCCTCGTTGATTTCAGCATGGCAGCCCGCGTTCCGAACTCCAGCACAAGGGAGACCCCGTGCGGATCTCTGCCGTGCGCGGCTCCAGAGGCGGCGCTGAGCGAGCCGTACTTGCCTAAGCCAGCTGACTGTTGGAGTCTTGGGGTGTTTCTCCTGGAGACCGCTTGTGGGCAGGGTTCTCTCAAGTTGTCGGTCCAGTGGCGCCGTGGCGAGTCCCTCGCATACGCCGCGCGGCAAGTACTCGAGTTTTTCTCCCAGGCTGGTTGCCACATCGAGGCGATGACGAAGATGTGTAAGTCACTCGACGGCGTAACACTGGCGTGCTTGGAGGCGTTGTTGAAGCCCGAGCCGGCCCGCAGAGCAAGTGCCTCCGACGTGGTAGGGATGTTATCTACTCGGCGCACCGAGCAGGCCAATCTTGATTGATTCGTTGTTGGTTACCTTTACACTTTGGGCACGCATGCATGGAACGCATGCAGCTCACATTCTGTGCGCAGGCTTCCATCAAGTTTCGGCCCCAAACGGCGCTGTCAGTCAGACGCCGCAGGGTCAGTACCCACGAGGCCTGATGCTTAGAGCTGAATTCGTCCACGCGGCAGGCGAGCACTGAGGAGACAATATGAGTATGAGTATGGGTTTGAGTATGAGTATGAGTATGAGTATGAGTATGAGTTTGAGTGGGGGGGGCCGTGATGCTAAACAGCGTCTGCAAGCGGCTGTGACTGCTCTTGTCCCCTCGTCCTGCAGCTCCTTTTCTGGCGCTACTCAGCCCTGCCTGCGCCCTCCCGACGAAGGCAGGGAGGCCGACGGACATTTTTAGAGCCCCCTGCCAGCATTTGGATGCAGCTGGGAAGCTGAAAAGCTGTGAATTGTCATACAGCGGCTCGGTCGAGTTTCTCCTGGAGACCGCTTGTGGGCAGGGTTCTCTCAAGTTGTCGGTCCAGTGGCGCCGTGGCGAGTCCCTCGCATACGCCGCGCGGCAAGTACTCGAGTTTTTCTCCCAGGCTGGTTGCCACATCGAGGCGATGACGAAGATGTGTAACTTACTCGACGGCGTAACACTGGCGTGCTTGGAGGCGTTGTTGAAGCCCGAGCCAGCCCGCAGAGCAAGTGCCTCCGACATGGTAGGAATGTTATCTACTCGGCGCACCGAGCAGGCCAATCTTGATTGGTTCGTTGTTGGTTACCTTTACACTTTGGGCACGCGTGCATGGAACGCATGCAGCTCACATTCTGTGCGCAGGCTTCCATCAAGTTTCGGCCCCAAACGGCGCTGTCAGTCAGACGCCGCAGGGTCAGTACCCACGAGGCCTGATGCTTAGAGCTGAATTCGTCCACGCGGCAGGCGAGCACTGAGGAGACAATATGAGTATGAGTATGGGTTTGAGTATGAGTATGAGTATGAGTATGAGTATGAGTTTGAGTGGGGGGGGCCGTGATGCTAAACAGCGTCTGCAAGCGGCTGTGACTGCTCTTGTCCCCTCGTCCTGCAGCTCCTTTTCTGGCGCTACTCAGCCCTGCCTGCGCCCTCCCGACGAAGGCAGGGAGGCCGACGGACATTTTTAGAGCCCCCTGCCAGCATTTGGATGCAGCTGGGAAGCTGAAAAGCTGTGAATTGTCATACAGCGGCTCGGTCGAGTTTCTCCTGGAGACCGCTTGTGGGCAGGGTTCTCTCAAGTTGTCGGTCCAGTGGCGCCGTGGCGAGTCCCTCGCATACGCCGCGCGGCAAGTACTCGAGTTTTTCTCCCAGGCTGGTTGCCACATCGAGGCGATGACGAAGATGTGTAACTTACTCGACGGCGTAACACTGGCGTGCTTGGAGGCGTTGTTGAAGCCCGAGCCAGCCCGCAGAGCAAGTGCCTCCGACATGGTAGGAATGTTATCTACTCGGCGCACCGAGCAGGCCAATCTTGATTGATTCGTTGTTGGTTACCTTTACACTTTGGGCACGCGTGCATGGAACGCATGCAGCTCACATTCTGTGCGCAGGCTTCCATCAAGTTTCGGCCCCAAACGGCGCTGTCAGTCAGACGCCGCAGGGTCAGTACCCACGAGGCCTGATGCTTAGAGCTGAATTCGTCACCTGCCCCTGGAAAGGTCAAATTGACCGCTAGCCGAAGGAGGCACCGTTTTTTTTGTTACGTCTTCTGTCTCTCTCCCTCTCTCTCTGTCTGTCTGTCTGTCTGTCCCTCTTCCTCTCTCTCTCTCTCCTGTCTCTCTCTTTCTCTCTCTCGCTTCCTCCTCCTCTTCCGCCTCCGCCTGCTTCTCTTCCTCCTCCTCGTCGTCGTCGTCCTCCCTGTCCTCGCGAGTGCCGTAGCTTGTAGCCTGTCGCTGATTCTCGAGCTGCTGCCTGTGCTGCGCCGTGCTCCTCGCTGGGACGAGAAAAAGGGCGCCAAGACAGACGACAGACGACAGACGACGACCACGACGACGACGATGACCACGACGACGACCACGACGACGACGACGACCACGACGACGACCACGACGACGACCACGACGACGACCACGACGACGACGACGACGACGACGACGACGACGGTGACATCTCGAGACAGACGACGACCACTGCGACGACCACGACGACGACGATGGTGACGTCGACGGCGACCACTACGACGACGACGACGGCGACGGCGGCGCCGACGACAAGGACGGCGGCGGCGGCGGCGGAGGGGGCCCCGGCTGCGCGCCATATCCGCCGGGCTGGGCCCTCGGCCCCGAGGCCAGCGTCCCGGCAGGCTCGCCCAGGCAGGAAAAGGAGCGCCAAGGCAAGACGACCCAAGCGGCGCCCAACATCGCCCAGGAGAGAGTTTCCGCAGCAGTTTTGGCTCAAGCCATCGTGGCTCGAGCTGCCATTTTTTGCTGTCTCGAGGCCGAAGGCAGGCCCGAGCACACCCCGCGAGCCCAAGCCCGTGGAGGCCGAGTCTCCTTCGACACCGCCTCGGAGTCTCTGCGCGCGCGTCGGGCGACATGGCGGCGCGGGTACCGCGGTGCCTCGCCGCGCTGGTGCCGCTCGCCGTGGCGGAGGGCGCGTGCTTGGGCGCGGACGCCGCCTGCGCCGGGGGCGAGGAGGAGGAGGAAGCGGCGCTGCTCCAGCAGTCCTCGCGGCAGGCGATTGCGCAGTCGAGCTGCGATGGCACGTCTGGGTGCTGGGGCTGGAGCGGCGAGCAGTGACAGCTCTGCAATGACGAGGCGGCGAGGGAATGTTACCTGGACCAGTTCTGCAAGGGCTGTTTTGGAGCAGCGAACCTGCTGCCGCGAAAACCACACTGCAGGATGCTGCTCTTGTGCGCACCCAGGGACCCCTGGTTGCAGTGGGCTGGGTCCGACACCATCGCCACCAGCTTGCGACACGTCTGGGTGCTGGGGTTGCAGCGGGGAGCAGTGCCAGCTCTGCGTGGACGAGAAGGAGAAGGATTGCTGCTTCGACCAGGTCTGCAGGGGCTGTTCTGGACAGCAGTGCCCCTACTGCCGCGAAGGCCACACGGCAGTGTGCTGCGCTGGCAAGCACCCAGGGACCCCTGGTTGCAGTGGGTCTGGTCCGACACCATCGCCACCAACACCACCAAATACCATCGTCGCCATCGCCAACGCCAGCGCCAACACCAGCGCCAACGCCGCTGCCGCCGAACACGCTCGGCTGCACGGCAACGCCAGCGGGCACCCGTTGGAACCCAGACATCTTGTGCTACCGGGAGCCAGACTGCGCGAACGGGGGGCTCTGCTGCAATGCGGGCGGCAAGACAAACGAGTACAAGTTCTGCGGTGTCGGCTCGTGCGGGGACTGCCCGTGAAGGGCAGTGGGCGTCTTCGCAGCGAAGACACACTTGCAGGAAGGATGCGAGTCGCGTCTGGCCACATCTCTCGGGCATCGGGGTTCGACGCCAGCCGAATACCAACAGTGCGTCAATTCCCCCCAACGTCCTCATCACCCGCATAGGGTGGAGTTATACACACCATTGTAGGTGAAACTGTGCCTCTGCTTTAGCAGCCTGGTGTGCAATGTGCACCTGGGAAAGAGGCGTCGTGCGCCACAGGGCTGCGGTTGTGTAGCGCGCGGTGCTGGCTACCGAGTGGATTTTGGCCTCCCCCGTAGACGCCCGGGAGGGCTCGAGGTGGCGTTCAAAATGAGTTTGGACACATGCCACGCAGGCGCCAAAGGAGTCACACAGAGCCCCAAAACGGCCCAAGCACGCCTACTTTTGCCCCGATGCTGCCGACGAGGCATCCAAGACTGCCCAAGAAGGCTCCAAACTGTTATCCGAAACAGCCTCAACAGGCAACAATCATTGATTTCCTACGGGTTTCTCATTGACTTTCGCGTTGTCGCCTGCTCCGCATCCCGACGCTCGGGAGACGGCCACGAGGGCCCCATTACGGCCCAAGACGGCGCCGAACTGGCCCACGACGTGCCAAAGATGGCCCAAGAGTTAAGTCGGGCATGCCCCTCTACAGGAGGAATATTCAGAATAGTCCAAGCTTCGTATTGGGACGTTCTTTTTATGTTTTCCGATTTTATTTCTATTTTTTATTATAAAACTGTTCCTAAACAAATGAAATAAACAACTAACAAATACCTAATACGTTTTGTTGCATGTTTGTTTGACTTGTTTTACTTTTAGTTTTCCTCAAATCCGCCTGTAGGAGGACATGCCCGACCTGACCCAGGAGGGCTCAACGCGGCCCCCCAAATTAGCATGGACACGCCAACACGGCCGTAAAGAAGGCCCAGCCTTCAGACGGCCCGGGCACGCCCTCCGTTGCTTCGATGCTGCCCACGAGGCATCCAAGACGCTCCAGGAGGGCTCCAAGCTGCTCTTCGAGAGAGCTCCGATAGGTAAGCATCATGTATTTGCAGCTGGATTTTCAAGGCTTTTCCATTAGTCGCCTGCTCCGCTTCACGACGCTCGGAGACGGCACACGCGGCGTACAAGAGAGCCCCAACACACCGAAGGGGGCGCCCAAATGAGCCCCGACACCCTAAACGGGTTTCTACACACGGCCAAGGAGCCCCGAAAGGCCCCTCAAATGAGCCTGTACACCCGACAGGGCACTACAGAGGCCTCCACGAGGGCCCCCACACAGCCGCAACCATCAGGTTCCCAGAGAGCTTTCTGGGAACGTGATTTTCGCCGCCAGTCATCGAGCATCGCCCCGTTGTCGCTCCAGCACTGCCCACGCCGCTCCCCAGATTGCACCAAAGCGCCCCAAGAGGGCTCCAAGGCGGCCCAAGAGGCGGCCAATGTGGCCCAAGATGCCCCAAGGACGGCCCCCCAAATGACCCTCGACACCCTAAAAGGGCTCAGCAGGCGGCCGAGGGGTTCCAAGACGGCCCCCCGCAGGAGCGTCGACACCCCGCAGAGCCTTGCAGAGGCCTCTGCGACGGCTCCAACTCGGCCGCAGCCATCATGTTCCCGGAACAGTTTCTGGGAACGTGATTGTCGGCACCAATGCGAGGAACTGAAGTTCCACGGCCGCAACCATCATGTTCTTGGAAGCCTTTCCAGGAACGTTACTGTCGTCGCAAGCCATCGTCGGAGGAGTAGATCCCCAGCATTTTCCCGTTGTTGTTCGTTCCGCTTGCCGACGCTCCAACACTGTCTAAAACGCTCCCCATATGGTACCAAATCACCCCAAGAGGGCGCCAAGGTGGCCAATCGGGCCCAAGGTTCCCCAAGATAGCCCCCCAAATGGGCCTCGACACAGCCAAATGGTTTAACAGGCGGCCGAGGAGCTACAAGACTGCCCCCCAAATGTGCCTCGACACCTCAGAGGGTTCAGCAGGCGGCCAAGGATCCCCAAGACGCCCCCCTCCCAAACGAGCCTCACCACTCCGCAAGGCTTTACAGAGGCCTCTATGTGAGCCACATCGCGTCCGTAATCATCATGTTCCCAGAAAGCCTTCTGGGAACGTGATTGTCGCCTACACTCCGAGGAAATGCAGTTCCACGGCCGTAACCATCATGTTCCCGGATGCCCGTCCAGATACGTGGTTGTCGTTGCATGCCGTCATCGGAGGAGGGAGGAGGGAGGAGGGAGGAGGGAGGAGGGAGGAGGGAGGAGGGAGGAGGTTCCAAAACATTTTCCCGTTGTGGCTCGTTCCGCGCGCCGGCCTCCCAGCGCTTCCAGCAAGCTCCCCATATTGCACCGAGTCGCCCCAAGAGGGCGCCAATCTGGCCCAAGAGGCGGCCAGGCTTGCCAAGCAATACGGCCCAAAGGCTTTACAGGCAGCGGGTGATGATGGTGATGATTATTGATGATGCTGCTGCTGCGGCTGATGATGATGATGATGATGATGATGATGCTGATGATGATGATGATGATGATGATGGTGATGATGATTAGTTGCTTCTGCTGCTGATGATGATGATACAGATGGATGATGATGATGCTGATAACCATGGTTCATATGATGATGGTGATAATGATGATGGTGAAATTGATGAGTGGTGCTGCTGATGATGATGCTGATGCTGATGCTGATGATGATCATTATGATGGTCATGCTCCTGATGATGATGCTAATGATGATCATGGTGACGATGATGCTGATGATGATGATGATGATGATGATGATGATGACGATGAGGTTTCCGTTGATGATGCTTGCTGCTGTTGTTGCTGCTGATGATGATGATGATGATGACGATGATGATGATGATCATGGTGAGGAGGGGGATGGCGATGATGGTGGTGGTGGTGGTGATGGTGATGATGATGGTGATGGTGGTGGTGATGGTGATAGGGGAGGAAGGGGGGGAGGATGGTGAGGATCAGGGGGAGGAGGAGGAGGAGGAGGAGGAGGAGGAGGAGGAAGAGGAGGAGGAGGAGGACCAGTGTAAACCCAAGAGTCATCAACGATGTTGGAATGAACCCTCCAAGCTCCCTCTTCATAGGCCCCTACAACGTTTCATTTCCATTAGGTGAACTTCCCCGTGGGAAGACAACCGTTTGAAGATCCAGAAGCATGCCAAAACATTGTTGTCGGAATGTCAACGCCGCGTATCGACCTGACTGCTGCATCTTGACGATCCGGAATCGTGCCAGACACCATTTTTGGGACTTGAACACCGCGACTCAACATAATTGTTGCACCCGCATAATCCTGAACCCTTCCAAAACACCACCTCTGGTACGTTGATCATGGGAATTTGTGAAGCTCTTGTAAATTTTCAAACCGAATGTGCGCGTCGCTAACGCGAAAGGTCACATTCTGAAAACGACCCGCCCTCAATCAGTGAATTCTTGCATTTTTATAGCGAGTGTGCGCGGCGCTAAGGCGAGAGCCACAGTTTGAAAAGAACCCGCCCTCAACCCGTGAAACTGTTGCAATGTTTTTGAACGAATGTGCGCGGTTCTACGGCGAGAGCCACATTTTGAAAAGGAACCGCCCTCAATTCGTGAAGCTCGTGTTGCTTTGAAAAACGAATGTGCGCGGCGCTAAGGCGGGATCCACATTTTGAAAAAGTAACCGCCCTTTAATCCGTGAAGTCCCTATTTTTTAAGCGAATGTGCGCGGCGCTAACGCGAGAGCCACATCTTGAAAGAGACCCGCCCTCAATCCGTGAAGCTCTGGCGATTGTTAAAACGAATGTGCGCGGCTCTACGGCGAGAGCCACAGTTTGAAAACGAACCGCCCTCAATCCGTGAAACTGTTGCAATCTGTTAAAACGAATGTGCGCGGCGCTAAGGCGAGAGCGACATTTTGCAAACGATCCGCCCTCCATGTGTGAAACCGTTGTCGCTTTTAACATTTCAGAGTGATATGCGGTGAGGAAGTCACAGGCGAAACGCCCGGCCCGCCATAAAAACTGGCCTCGGGGTGCGACAGGGAGAACTTATCTATAAGGACAAATAATGGAGGAGGAGGACGACGAGAAGGACGAGGAGAAGGAAGAGGAGCAGGAGGAGAAGGATGATAAGGAGAAGGAGGAGGAAAAGGATGAGGAGGAGGCGGATAATGAGGCCGAGAGGGAAACTGAGGGCGGAGACATGGGCCGACGATACGAATAGGGATGACCGAGCGGAGGCTGATGATGATGATGAGGAGGAGGAGGAGGAGCAGGACGAGGAGGAGGACAAGGAGGAGGAGGAGGAGGAAAAGGATGATGAGGAGGAGGCGGATAATGAGGCCGAAAGGGAAACGGAGGGTGGAGGCATGGGCTGACGATGCGACTGGGGATGACCGGGCGGAGGCGGAGTAGGAGGAGGAGGAGGAGGAGGAGGAGGAGGAAGAGGAGGAGGAGGAGGAGGAGAGGAGGAGGAGGAGGAGAACGGCGAGGAGAAGGAGAAAGAGGAGGAGGAGGAAGAGACAAGGATGAGGGGGGGAGGGGGGAGGGGAGGGGAGGGGGGGAGGGGAGGAGGAGGAGGAGGAGGAGGACGAGGAGGAGGAGGAGGAAGAGGAAGAGGAAGAAGCGAAGGAAGAAGAGCTGGAAGAGGAAGAGGAATAGGATCAACATACGAAGAAAAAGAAGAGGAGGAGGAGGAGGAGGAATACCCCTGAGGAGAAAAGAGGTAGCATGGAGACGGGGCAGGGAACACCACGGAGGGAGCACAACAGGAAGGGGAGGAGGAAGGAGAGGAGGAAGGGGAGAAGGAGGATCACGAGGAGGAGGAGGGGGGGGATGACCACAGCAACGGCGATGCCCGAGAGGGGGGCGAGGACGGGAGAGCGCCGAGGCGGACGGAGGCTCAAACGGCACATGCGGGGATGGTCGCATGCTCGCCCACGACGCACGCGACAACGAGAGCTGTGGCCCAGCTGTGACTGGAACTTTCAGTGCGCGTAGGGCGCGTGCTTTGTTCGAGTGTGTGCATACATGCCTGGGTGGACGTATCCGTATTGTGATGACCTCCGACACGGACAAGTCTTGGCCGCGCGTGCGCATTCGAATCGATGCGACGCACACAGAGCGATTGACACTTACATGTGTATGTTGTTAGTGTTCCAGCCATGCTTGCGCGGTGCCACGGCGCAGCCTGCACACCCCCCGCTTGCGACAACTGCAGTTCCGATGCCCGATGTCCGATGTCCATAGTGTAGGCAATGTCCCACCAAATGCGAGAGCCCACTAATGGATCCAGTTGGCCAGAGGGGTCATTCAATGTTTGAGTACGTTGGCCTCGGAGCCCTCAGCCCCTTACCAGGATGAGCTGTTCATCCTCATCTTCTCTTGATGGCGTCACGGCTCGACGAGGGCATGGTGCAAGCGCTCATCGCCGCAACTTCTCACGACGCTTGGAGGTCAGGGTATCTCACGTTGTTTGTCGCACACGTAATGATATCCTGCCACACGCCTGCCTTACCAAGACAACCGGGACCCGAAGCTGGTCAAGACCTCGGTCGTGTCTTCTCGACTTTTCGTTCCACTCGTCATCCTCGTCCCTCCTGCCTGCTCCCACTTGTCATCCTTGTCCCTCCTGCCAGCGCCTCCCAGTTCTTCCTCCACTGCCAACTCACGTGTGGCAATCCTTCCCGCCTGCTCTTTCTGCTTCTACTTCTCTCTCTTCCCTCCTCTTCCCTCCTCCGCCCTATGTTGTCGTTCCTCCTACTCCCCCTCCCCCTCCCCCTCCCCCTCCCGCCCCCCCCCCCCGAGGCTCAGGTGGTGGCGTAGGTGGCGACCCTTCGACTACCTTCGCCTGCCGCCTAGGTCCAGACGTGCCGACAACCGAGCGCGCACAAAGCGAAGACGCGCGTCGTTCTCAACCTCTCCCTTCCCGCCCTTTCTTCCCCACCCCCTGGGGACTCAGCAGAAGTGATGTCTACTCAGGGTTTTGATCTGAGTGATTGGTGGACTTTCATTTTTGTCAGTGGCTCCATACATTTTTAAACATTTCCCATGTCTGCCCGTCAATCTCTGCGGAAGCTTGCCTGAGCAGTCGCCTACAGCAAAACAAATAAATCCACCCCTTGTGGACGTTTTTTCTCTTGAATCGTCGGTCCAGAAATAAAAAAAACTCTCTCCCCTCTCCGTCTCCCTCCCCACGCCCTTTCTTCCATGCTCCCCTCCTTGCGCTCGGCGCGCGCGCGAGGCGGCCGCGGTCGTGGCCGACGACAAGAAGAAGCCCAAACCCACGGGACCGTGCGCGAAGGCCGCGTCGCGGGCCTCATCTGTTTCTTTCATCTGCTCGTTTTTTGTTTGTTTTCTCTCTCTCTCTCTCTCGTTCTCTGTCCCTTTCTGTCTCTCTCTCTCTCTCTGTCTCCCTGCCTCCATCCATGTTATTAGACGGCCGAGGGGGATGAGGTATTTTTTGTTTTGTTTCTGTTTTGTTTCTTGGGGGGCGATTGGCTTTCTTTATTCCTTCAGAAGCCTCCTCCCACTCTTCCTCCATCGGCTCGCCGTCAAGCCAACGACCCCGCCATGATCTGCCATAGGTTTGAAACGCTTGTTTTCGAGCAATCGCAAACATGGATCACGGGGGCGTGGATTAGCGACGGGTCCCGTTTCCATGGGAAACCGCGGATTTCCGCCGCCGAGCGATGCGGCACCGGCCGCATTCTGGGGAGAGCGCCTCCCCCGAATCCATGGACTTGGCGACCGCGCGTCAAATCCGTGGATGGCTAATCCATGTTTGCGCGCCCCCGATGCTCGGAGAAGGGCAGCCCGCACCTCGCGGGGAGGCTGGCACGGGGCCTCCGTTTCGCGAGCCACGGCGCGGGGATGGGATATCGCGAGCGGGGGGCGCCCGGCATCCGCGGGGCGGGGCGGAACGGGCACGCTCTCTCCCGGTGCAGGTATGCCAGGGCGCCGCCCGGGCCTCCTAGAGAGATGCAAAACTAGACAAAAAATTGTCAGGGGATATTTTGATATATATATATAGATATACACAAGTGGCACGTGTTTGCCCAGGCTCATACAAAAAACTGAAGGGGCGTTTGAAGCAGGAGTGAAATGCAACATCGAAGTCGCACTCGAGCGCAAGTGGGGTTGCCACACCTTGCGATGTGTGTACCAGGACCCCCCAGGAAGCCTCAGGAGGCCCGACTTGGATACCAGAAGAGGCTCCAGGAGGCCCCAGGATTGTGAGTGTTGTGCGTGTGTGTGTGTGTGTGTGTGTGTGATGTATGCTTTGTGTGGTGCGTGCTTTTTGTGTGTTGTAGGTGTTGTGTGTGTGTGTGTATGTTTGTCTAGCGTGTGATGTGTTGGGCGTGATTTGTGTCTCTGTGTGCATGTAGTTCTGAAGCCCCAGGAGGCCCCAGGAAGCCCCAGGCGGCCTCAGGAGGCCCCAGGAGACCCCAGGAGGCTTCAGGAGGCCCCAAGAGGCTCCAGGAGGCCGCAGGAGGCCCCAGGAGGCCCCAGGAGGTTTCAGGAGACCCCCAGGAGGCTCCGAGGCGGGGTCTGGGGTGCCAGAAGGTTCAGAAAGTCCCAGGAGGCCCCAGGAGGTTCCAGGAGGCCCCCAGGAGGCTCCGAGGCGGGGTCTGGGGCTCGATTTTGGAAAGATTTTTCAAGCGAAACCGCCATTCCCTGAGAATCGGGGTCACAATTATTGAAATTACCATGTGTTTTTGAAGGTGTTATGTTAACATGTTGAAATTCCCATGTGTTTTGGACCCTGACGTCACGATCTGCGTGAGGGGTGCCACCGATTTTCAGAATTTCGAGGATGTCCCGAGCGAAACGCCCAGAAAAATTTCGGACGCGTGCGCATTAATCGCCTCTCAGCTCTACTCCCTCGGAGAGGTGCGTATGAATATATATATATATATATATATATATATATATGTGTGTGTGTGTATGTGTGTATATATATATGTATAGGCGTATAGGCGTATATATGTGTGTCGATTAGGAAAACATAAACATAGTTGATACATATATATACGTGTGTGTATATACATATATATATAGGCGTACAGGTGTGTATATTAGGAAAACATAAACATGCGTATGTTTGGGTACTGTGGCGTTTTTTAGTTGTTGTGTTTTTTTGGGTGACTTTTCTTCTAAAATTCGCTTGTAGGAGGACACGCCCGACCTACTCCTAGAGCCTTCGGGACTCTTGGCGAAGCAAGCTGTTAGAGGCTCCTGGGAATGTTGAAGGGTTGAGTTCTGGTATCGGTCCTGGCAGTGAAATATCGCCTAGCCCTCCTGGACGCCAGAACGCAGTCATGGGCTCGCGTGGGTTGGCATTTGCGTTGGCATACACGTTTCAAGGTTCACCTACAGGTTTCATGGCTCCAGAGGCTTCTAAGGCACCTTCTAAGACGCGTCGGGACCCTCTAGGTGGAGCCCTGCCTTTGCTCAGGGAACGAAGAATGACATAAACATAGAAACTCGGAGGTCCGCGCGGATTTCTCGGATCGGCGCTGGACCCCCCTGGCGGTGCCTTCGGCGCCGCCCCATGGCGCGCTCCGCGCGCCAGGGAGGGGGTCCAGCGCCGATCCGAGAAGTCCGCGCGGACCTCCGAATTGTCATGTTTACAGTGGAGTCCCATGCTGAGAAGCACCCTGCTCGCCTCCAGGGTGCCCCGGGTTTCTTGGGCTTCCATGGCTTTGCGATGGACGCCGTGACGTCTCCGCACCAGAACGAGGGAGCATCCTCAAGGGCGCCCTCGAGGGCGCGAAGTTATTCGCGCTTCGCGCTTCGCGGTTCGGCTCCGATTCCCCCTCATCCTCCTCTCTTCTCCTGGGAGGCGGCGCGAGAGCGCGAAGTTATTCGCACTTCGCACTTCGCGCAGCGCGAAGCGCGAAGTTGGGAGCCCTTGCATCCTGGGGCCTCGGGGCTGGGCTTCTTGCGGAAGGCTTCCTGTGGACTGGCCTTCGGTCCACTGCACGTCCACGGAGAGCCGCGCGCCTTGCCGCGCGCTCCGGGCGCCGTGGGCGAAGACGACGACGACGACGACGACGACGACGACGACGACGACGACGACGACGACGACGACGACGACGACGACGACGACGACGACGACGACGGCGACGGCGACGACGACGACGACGACGACGACACTCGTGGACTGGCCCAGTGTCTCGTGCCCACGCCTTCGCGCGCGCCGCCGGACCACCGCGGCCGCCGCCGGACCGCCGCGCCTCCGCCGCCGTCGTCGCCCTGCAGGAGGGCGAGAACTGCCTGGACTCGCAGTGCTGCGCGGCCCCGGGGATGCAGTGCTACGCCGAGCAGCAGTACTGGGCGCGCCTCGCGTCCCCGAGCCACTCTCTGGCTGACCCAGAATCAGGAGGGGAAAACACACACACACACACACACAGAGACACAATAAGTCTTCGCCTCCCAGGACACATGGGAAAATACGGGCAGTGGGGGGGGAAGACAACAACTCAGGAAATATGGAAAGATATAGGGAATCCTGCTATTTGTGTGTATATATATATATATATGTATATATATGTGTGTGTGTGTGTGTCCCTGGGCCCCTTGACACAGGGGGTCCAGCTGAACGGGGGTGCTGTAACATATTTGCGGCCGTCGTATTGCAAACGTTTTGCGCTCGAAAGTTGTACGGCATTGCATTGCCACTGATGTATTGCGCGCGAGAAAGTCCAGCAATGCAGAGTGTATTGCACGCACCAAAGCTGTTGCAACCCCACAAGTCTATTGCACCAGATTTGTTGCACCACCCCATTCTCGCTGGACCCCATTTTGGGTCAACCAGACACTCCCGATGGTGAACATGCTTGTTAGTTGAAATCAGGTTTCAAAGCACGTGTGCATTTTGAGCATAGATCTGACCGAGAAACACGTTTGCAGGGGAGGAGGAGGGGGATCGGGGGGGGCAGGAGGAGGGAGGACAGAGGGAGGAGTCTGAAGTTTTGCGGCCTCCGCTGGCCTTCAGGCAGAGGCGCCCGCGAGCAGCTCGAGAGGTCGGTAG